ACAATAGGCTATCCATTCAACCATCGTGAACAATGCATCATCCTTCTGCTACATTGCCAATGGCACACAACTCCGCCCTCCTTAGAAGTTGGACCAAAATATGTCTTGCTACCAATTAAAAGTTTTAAAAATAAAGGAGAATCAATAGTGTAAATCTCATACACAACATACTTGGGTCATCTGTGGCATCTTGGATTAGAGCTTATATGCTGGCAGACTTATTGGCCACTGTACCAATCCAGGTTTATAACAGCAGTGCATAATAGCGGATGTACATTAGAATTTAGAATAAGAACAGATAAACTACTGAATAGATAGTGGATACTTCTAGATGAAAGGAAGACTGAAAAAGTATTAGCTAAAAGCAAAATTGTCTGGAAAGTTATAGCCTCCATTACTAAAGGCCAACTCAGGGCTGATGCCCATCAATAGGGACAGGCCGCCGGGCGGTGGTGGCGCACGCCTTTAATCCCAGCACTCGGGAGGCAGAGGCCGGCGGATCTCTGTGAGTTCGAGGCCAGCCTGGGCTACCAAGTGAGTTCCAGGAAAGGCACAAAGCTACACAGAGAAACCCTGTCTCGAAAAAACCAAAAAAAAAAAAAAAAAAAAAAAATAGGGACAGGCAAACAGTGTTGTTCACTACTTACATTATCATTACAAATAATACTCTAACAGCTATTGCTTATGAATAATTACTGTGGCCCAAGTTCTGTCTTGAATGTTTTACATGCATTGTTGGAGTAAAGGTCACAATAGCCTCTCCAGTATTATTATAGACCCCATTGCTGGCATTCACATATCTGCATAATGAAGACTTTTCCCCGCAGCCTATGTTCTTAACCAGGACAGTATTTGTGACAACCAGGAGCATAATAGAAATGCAACTGTAGAAGGAAATATGTCATTTGAGAGCTTGGAAAAGAAAGCAAAAATAGGAGGGAGGCCAAGAAAGGAGGCTTAGAGAAGTAAGAAAATTGGACAACAGATGATTGTGGTGTCTAAAACCGAAATCTGGCGGAAAAGGGAAAAACCACAGAAAACAGCTGTCAGAAGAGAAAAACGATAGCCAGAATGCTAATAAGCAAAAACCAAATGCTGCTCCTGTAAAAAACAGGGAGTTTACCAGTGACTTAGAGGGCGTAGCTTCTAGGATAAGATGCAGAGCATAGGCGATTTGCGTGTAGAAATGGTAGCATTTGACTAGAAACATCAAGAGATTAGATGGGTTATTTACGGCAGAGAATGGAACATGTTAAAGGGTGTGTGTGTGGAGGGAGATGATACATGTACCATGGAAAATGCATCCAATTCACTATGACTGGTATGGTGGGGAGTAGAGATGCAAGAGATCTGAAGAAAGAAAATAACACAAAGAATGTCCAAGGGACCAGTGATGATTTCATATTTGCTGATTTTTTGGGGGGGAGGGTGGGGGTAGGTGCAGTGTGGTTAAGGCAATTATATGGAATGTTCTTACTTGTAGAAATCTGGTCTATCTTCCACCCAATTCTCTAGTTGGATGTGTGGAGCCGAGAAAGAATATACGGCATAAACAGAATCTAGTCATCACCTGTGTTAGAAAACTGAATCATCCTAGGGGTAAGAATACAGAAACACCCTCACATCAGCCCTTAGTCATCATGGGAAGGAAAATGGAGCCAGCATTCCCAAAAGTAGCTGTCAGTTCTGCTTTCTATTGACAAATAGATGAGCCTCGAATCCTTACAGCACCTATGTGAATAATGGGCCGTGATGATAGGTTTTCCAGGGATACCTTTGAGCCCACTTAGAACTTTCAGCGTGACAACTGTAAAACAATATAGGTCATAATATCCCAGTTGGTATTTTGTTTCCGCGAGAATACACAGACCAAAGCAAAGACCACAGAGGAACACTGTTTACTGACTTCCTCTCTCTAGCTATTCAGCTACCTGTCTTTTATAACTTAAGCCCTCCTGAGTAAGGATGGTGCCGTCCACAACGGGCTGGGTACTCCTGCATCAATCTCTAGCTAGTTCAGCTACCTTTTTTTTTTTTTAATAGCCTAAGGCCCCCTGAGTGTGGAAGGTGCTGCCCACAATGGGTTGGTCACTTCTGCATCAATTTGAATTTAAGAAAACCCCAACAGACATTTCAACAAGATGGTCTGAGTGTAACAATTTCTCAGTTGGGGTTCCCTCTTTCTAGATGACTGTAGTTTGTGTCAACTTGGGAAACTTAATTAGCACAAATGTTTTTACAGAAAAGCATTTCTTTGTCTAGCTAGATAATAAAACAGATACCTAAGGTTAATCAGCATAAGACTAAGTGTGATGAGATTTTCATATGTATCATATTCCAAGGAGACTCAAGCTATGGATTAAAAATCAATAGTATCTCTGCTATTCACAACCTGTTATGTACTCACTCCCACAATGAAAATATGCACTTTTTTTTTTTGGTTTGTTTTGTTTTGTTGAGGCAAGATTTCACTGTGTAGCCTTGGTTGTCTTAGATCTCACAATGAAGACCAGGCTGGCCTCAAGTTCACAGAAATCTGTGGGAGCTCATTTTCAGTTTCTTCGCAGCTTTACCCAGCAGGTCTGCATAGAGAGGATGATTGGACCACGGCCTGAGTGCAGGTGTCTGAGATGGTCTGCACTTGGCTGTGCTAGGGGGAGGTCTTTTGCTCTACCCCTTGGCATTTCTATAAATACCCTAGGGCAGGACCCATTGGAATAGGTTCTAGGCCCTCTCAAGGCTATCCTGTATTTTCTATGTGTTTATCTCCACATTCTAAATCCTTCTAATATTTCCTGCTGCTCACACTCAAGAAAACTCTGGGAGAACTGTGGGATTGGTGGGTAAATGCCCCGCAGAAATCCACCTGGCTCTGTCTCCCAAGTGCTGAAATTAAAGGTGTGTGCCACCACTACTCGGCCAAGCACAGACTTTTAAGAGAAGTTTCAGGATAAACCTAGGAGTCAACTCTGTTATCCTTCCTTGGAATACCATGAAGCTAAAGTTTGAAGAGAATAAAACACTCTAAAAATCAGATAGGCAGGCAGTTGGGGTAATAAAATTCACCACCACCAGCTCCCTCTGGTATATTAGAATAATATCTAGGAAACCAAAAATTAATTCTGAAAAAAAACATAAAGCAACAAACTTACAGGTGAATAAGTGAGTTACCTCAGCACACATTGTTGCTGATATCAACACTATTTAAATTTATTACAGGGACCAATAATTATGGAAACTGCAGAGCATGTTGTCTAAGGACAAGCTGCTGTGTGTGCATGCACAGCAGGCTTTGGGAAGAGCAGACCCGAAATTTGTGGAAGATTTTTAAGCACACTATTTGTTCCTTCTGAATCTCAATTTTTCTGATTTAAGACAATGGAAAGGCTATAGTCAGGAAATACACAATCCTGGACAGAGATAAAAATAAATATATAGACATCTTTTTTAAAAGTCCAGATAAATCTGAAATATCACATCAGCACAAATTTATATAAGCCACAAGAAAAATATGTCCAAGGAATTATATCAAAACTACCTCCAATGGCCCTACCGGTACCACAAGCCTGCATCCTGAAAAGTGGGTGGGTCCTTCTCAGACCCCTCAGTGCAGCTAGCTGTAAGTCACCACACAAACGCATTTAATTCCAGGTAAGCAAGATGCAAGCATGTGCACAACATTGTGCACCAATGAGTCAATAAAAGAGTGCAGATAAGTCATGTATTAATGTGATGTATGCTACACTTCAGGCTGCAATGGTCGATATGCACCATGATTCTGAAAAACGCGGGATAAGACCCAAGAATACATTCAGAATAATTTCGGAATACATTGATTTCTGTGCATTGCAAAAAAAAAAAAAAATGTTACTCCATGTGGGGGTTTGTTACTCTGAGTTTCTCTTCCCTGGCTTTCCCCACTAATGAAGAATTTGATTCTATTTCGCCCCTCCCACCCAGTGCTTGCAGATTGCTTGAGAAGGCCAAGGCAGCTCAGCAGCAAGGAAACCGGGCTGGCTGCGCACGAGCTATATATAGCTCCACCTTGGAGATGTGCATACACAGGCACACGTACAGATGCCCATGCTGGATCTGGCATGAAAAACAGGACAGCTAGAAATGGCTACACCTCTCTCTTGCTTCTTTCCCACCATCCCATCTTTTTTTTTTTTTTTTTTCAGGAATTTTCCCAGAAGGGTGTCTGATTTCCCTGCAATACTTCTCCCTGCTGCTACCAGCAATCTGTTTCCAGCAGAAACCGGCACTGAGCCAACACCTAGTGCCCAAATGCGGTCACCCAGGGAGGATGCTTTGGAGTCCATCCTGACAGTCATTTGACTAGATGAAGTGGTAGTTCCCGGTAGGAAACAGTGGAGCAGGCAGCAAGCTGCTTCTCTGCCCTGCCCAGTCCTCAAGCACCTCGTGGAAGAGGGACCCTGGCTTTTCCCCAGACTGGATTAATCAGAAAATGCAGGGATTCTCCCCAACCCGCACGCCCAAAGGGGACTAGTTCTTAGCCTGAGGACGCACCAGCCCCTGCCTCCCTTACTGCAACCACCGGCAGCCAGCGCTGCACTGGAGGTACCCCGCAGGTGCGGGGGAGGGGAACAGGCGGCGCCTGGCATGCGGAGCAGTTGAGATGCAGAGAGGACCTGCGGTTCCGGCAGCTGGCACGTCTGCGCCCCCCAACCCCCAGCAACATCGACAGGGCAAACCCCGGGCCCGACCCCGCAGGCAGCCGCAGCGTCTACAAGGAAAGTTGCCCAGACGCGTTGCCCCTCGGGGGCCGCTCTCAGCAACCCTTCCCTGTGCGTTGCCCCGGCTCCAGCATCCTGATCACCCCCTCCACCCCATCTTCTAATCCGGTGTCATCAGTGTTGCAGTGACAGCAACAGCGACCCTGGGAGCCGGGGTAACCAGGGCGGGGCAGGGGCTGGCTGGGTGGCCTCTGGGAAGCACGCCTTCCCTGCGCTCTGCAGAAGGGCGAGCCTGCCTCCTACCTGTTCCCCACTCCTGTCGCCGCCGCGCTGCCTGGCCCTACAGCTTTCCCGCTCCCGCCGCAAACAGCTGGGAGTGCATCTCCCACCGGCGCTACTCCTCGCCTAGGCGGAGCCCACCCTAGCTACTTGACAGCAGAAGCCGGGGCCTCAGAGTGCAGTTATTGGGGCCGCAGGGAAAGGGAGGCGGGGACCGGAGAGAAACCGGCACCTTTGATTGGACAGAGCAGATGTCATTCTCAACTCCCAGGGTTTCTGTGGACTCTCTTAGCTCCTGAACCCTGTAAATCCATGGTTCCAAATCCCTCTGCTTCTTGGTCAGAGGGCTTTAGAGGAGGGAAACTGCCTGGAGGATCCGTCATTAAAGCGGAGGCGGTGCACGCCTTTAATCCCAGCACTCTGGGAGGCAGAGCCAGGTGGATCTCTGTGAGTTCGAGGCCAGCCTGGGCTACAGAGAGAGATCCAGGACAGGCTCCAAAACTACACAGAGAAACCCTGTCTCGAAAAAATAAACCAAAACGAACAAGCCCCACCCACCCACCACCACCACCACCACAAAAAAAAAAAAAAGACTCCATGAAGGAGGGAGGATCTGACAAAGCCTGGAACTTTCCAAAAGAGACTTCTGCTCCTGGAGATTTAACCAGGGGTACAGGCTTAATATGGAATATAGACTTCAATGAGGAAACAGAAAATAAGATGCACCACCAAGTGGAGAGAAATCACAGGAATACCAGAACTGGAGATTTTCGTTTCATTCCCGTCCCCAACCATTGCCCAAATATGTCACAGAAGTTTTCCTTATATCAAAAAGCAAAAATTTTGACCAAAAATCACCCATATAGGATCCAGTACTTTAAATGGGAAGACACAGTAAAATAAACTTTCAGAGTAATGTAAACTGAGGCATTTGCCCTAGGCAGTTCCACTGGTGGCTACTTCTTAAAGTAATGGCCACCATAGTGATAACCAATCTCTTGTTCTCAAGTCTGAGTACAAAAAAAAACGGACAGCTAGGTGATTGTGAGACTGCTTTAAAGAGGGCAGAATGTCTTTGTGTGCCTGTGTCATCTCCACAGTCTATCAGGGGAGAACCAGAAAGCTATGAAACCCAAGGGACCTCTTAGTGGAAAACCAGGAGAGACTGTAAATAAAATTGAAGCAGACTGTGTATTCCCTCAGTACCTAACAAGGAAACAAGACACCCTCTTCCTCTATATAGCCCAATTTGTCTTCCACCTTGGTAACTTAGTGTCCTAATGCATACTGAGCATGAGAGAGAATTCATGTTCGTGAGTTCGTGAAAGGCCTGCCCCCTGGGCTGTTGTTAAAGAGAAGGCTGATGCGAGGTATACTCAATGTTCAGAGTTTTTAATGCCATCGTCCACCTTGTCATAGTCTGTTCACAGCACTCTAAGGTTCAATGTGTGCTGCAGTGGAAAGGGACTCAGGTTAAAAGGAACAATAGATAAGTTCTGTACGCCAGGGACCCTCTCGCCATTGTTACAAGTGTCAAAGCCTCTGGAGTCTTGTTTCCCCATGACATGCCTGTGAGTCTTGGATCCTCATCCCCAGAATACTCCAGTTTTCCCACTGAACTGCGCAAAACTCCTGGAATACTGTGCACTTGTCTTGTGCCGTATTCTCTGTGAGGTGTACCAGAACTCAGCAAGAATGAGGTGTCAAACTGGCCAAGGGAATCTAGGAGGACAAAATTAGCAAATAGTTTAGTGAGGGATGTGTTTTCCAGATTAGTACCTCGTGATTGCTCAATAAATTTCAATTTACCTGGGCTTTGTACTGCTTTCCAATACACTCTCCTCCAGTAAAAGACAGAGCATAGAATGAAATGAAAAAAATTGAAATGAAATAAAAAAACACTGAGCATTCCAGTTTACATGAGTGTGAACAGAATACTAGAAACTCCACCTTGTCATCTCCTTATTCTTCCATTTATTCCCTTAACACATACTAGTATTGTGAACGTTGTGTCATGAAGTTCATTTTTTTTTCAAGCATACAATGCCGGTTGTGCATTTCTTGACCAAATGAAGATGTGTGTTCATAAGCACGTATGGCACAAAGAATTTTGAAGAGCATTCAGATTATTTCTATCTCATCAGGCCCATATACTTTCAAAGAAAACAGACCTTTTCCAAGTTTTGTAATGGCTTTTTCTCAGAGAGCAAAATCTATATATCTGTTCATGGCATACCTATATTTCTATTTACATAAAAACATTAGCAATGTCAGCTACACAGCAGTTTGCTTTTTCCAAATCACTTTCACACACTCTGGGCTCTGTGCTGTTACAATTATGAGCTTCAGCATAATAGTAATAGATGTCCAACAGGACTAGACACTCATGCCCGTGAACACCTAGACGTAAGTAGAGCTCAGACCGTAAGACTAAACAGTCATTATTTCTCCCACTCCATAACTTTATCTGGCATGGGTCCTGTACAGTTCTCACCCATTCTCCTCACTGAATCATCTGCCTGTTGAAGTTTTTATTTTTTAAATTGGTTTATTCCTCTGACCACATTTATAAAACATAGGAAAGTATGTACTTTCATTAGAGATTACTCAGTACACAATCAGTATCTATGTTTAGGGTCTGCTTCATGAGGTTGTGATCACAGCTAGTGGGTCTGGTACTGAGGCATGAAGAAAGCTGAGGAGAAATGAGTGGCCAAGTGGGAAGGTTTGCTTTGAGGACTATTTTCCTCACTGCATGAAGGACAGCATTGTTGAAACATGGTCTGGATTACCTCACCCTGGCAACAGGATGGATAACATACGTCGACATCTTCCAAAGCAGCAAAGGACAGTTCTGCTTTCTCCATGGATGGATCCAAGCTCCTAAGCAGTCACAGAGTTCCACCTTCTACTTCCTGGGGCATCACATGGCTCAACTGCTTTTGGCCCTGCTGGATCCACCCCCAGACCCACCTCAAGGTCCCCTCCTTTTCTTCACACTGCCTTGGCCCTTAGTCTTCAAACATTCCAATTTCCTCTGACCACTGATTGAATGTCAGAGAGAGAGTTAGCAAAACCACAATAGTATCTGGCTTTCCCCAGAGAGTGCTCCCTTCCTCTCTCCTCTGCTCCACCCAATTCCTCACTGGGAAGCTTCCCAGGAGAGCAATTCCCAACATAGCCTGATGTGGCAAAGGAAGAGAGGAGCAGAGAAAGGCGTGTTGGTTTTTTTCCCCCCTTCTATCAAAATTCAAGGCCGCGCTCAACACATCAGTATGGCAACAGACATTCTGCCGATTGGTTTGAAGAGTCCTGCTAAACACAGCCTGCAGCGTCTCCTCAATCCCGCAGTGTCTCCCCGCCAGCAGCATCTCAGTTCTCATCAGCCCACTGACCTAGCTTTTCAGAGCCAATTGGGAATTCAGCAAGGAGATGCGCACAGCAGGAAGCATACAACCCACACCCAGGAACAAACATACACACACACCCTCTCTGTGAGGGTGAGGTGCTGCGGAGACACCACTACCAAGTGGTTTTTAAAGACTGAGTACTGGAATTTCAGTCAACACGCTTCTCACTGGGAACCACCACAATTTTTCTGGAGATTAAGTGCAAGGTCAGAATTCCTTTTGTTTTGGAAGTGACTGCTGTGTCCCCAAAAGACAGACTTTCAGAAAAGCCACCTGCTTTTATTACTAGAGTATTCTTATAGCTGCCTTTGTTTGACAACAATCTACTGATTTCTTTTTGCTATTATCTCATATCTATAATAGAAATCAATGTATAATGTAATAAAAGACCTGTTACCTTTTAGTCAAATCCCTGTCCTCAAAAGTCTTTCAACTCATAGATCTCATGGGTAAGGCCACTTGGGTAATTTAGTGTCAAGTGTGGATTTATTCTCTGGTGTTCCCCAAGAGTTGGAGGCCAGACAGACACTATTAACCAACTCCTACCCTCAGTCATAATTAACACACCCTGCCCCTCTATCTCAGCTGCCATTTTAGACATTGCACATAATAGCTCTTCAAAATAATGGATACTTCTACCATCTGTAGTAGAACTGAATATTAGGCCATTTGTCATTGTTCATTTGTGTGTGTGTGTGTGTGTGTGTGTGTGTGTGTGTGCGCGCGCTGCTAGCAGAATTCCTGAAAGTTGGTGATTTATAAAGAGCAGTTACGGATGTTGTAAAATCCAAACCTTGTATCTGGGGGAAAGATTTATACTACAACACACACACACACACACACACACACACACACACACACACACACACACACATATACACAGTCATAAAATCAGCAGGAGTGGGGAAAAGTTGCACACACCAACTTTCGCTAGAGCCCACTTGCATTGTTACTCACCTTGTAGCTCCAACAAAATACCTGACAAGAGCAGCTTCAGGACCAAAGTTTATTTTGGCTTGCAGTTTTATCAGTCAGGGTGGAGAAGTCATAAAGATAGGTGCTCCAAGTGTCTAGTCACAACACTTGAAGCAGAGAACTTAGCTCATTTTCTGCTTATTCAGTCCAGGCACAGCCCATGGAATGTTTTCACCTATATTTTGGATGGTCCTCCTACCTTAATTAACCAGACATTTGCCCAAGATTTGTTCCCATAGCAATTCTAAATCCTATTATGCTGGCAGTCAAGATTAGGCACCACATCACTCCATCAATGACTGACCTAGTCCTGCTGGACAAAGTCAGTCTGTGGCTGGAGGCTACCCCTGCACATCATTGCCTTTAATGGTCCTTAATGATTCTGGTGCACAAGAGACCGGGTTTCCAACACTGTGAACTTGGGGAGTTCATTCCAGCCACAGTTTTTTTTTTTTTCCTTCTAGAGGATGGGGAAATCATTGTGAACCTCAGTTTCCTGTGCCTTAAATAAGAGATGAGTTACTCAGTCGTAGTATTGAAAGCTAAAGGCTAGGAATACAGCACCAGTATCTTTATGGGGGCCCTTTCCCCAAATATCCAGTGCTACTCTCCACATGGTTCATGTTTATGATCCACTTTCCACTGGAATCTTGATGATCTTTAGTCCGTTTTCCTCATTTTCCATGGTGTTTAGAAATGTGGACTTGCTAACTTTCTCTAATACATGTTTGGTTTCTATGCTACTGTTTGCTGATTTTTATCAGTTATTTACTTTCTCTTGCTTAGA